TTTACGCACGGACGCATGGACGCCACTGATAAACAATTCGCGCTGAATGTCAAATGGCACTGCGGGCGGCAGTCATTTCCTTGCTGGCCTAAAATTCCTCTGTGAAAATATGAGCAACAATCACGAACTTCTAATACTTTCACATTTTTCAGCAATACAATTAGGACAAGGACACGCAAAGGGTGTGGAGCCTCACCAAGCTTTATTTACATGCGCACCATTTCTTATACAAACTAGATTACGATTCAAAATGGAATACACAGGAAAAATACCCACTAACATCAAGTCAATAAGAAACAAGATAATAAAGGGCAAAGTTCATAGGATGTATGGATGGAAGGTGGCCTGGGCCTCTTAACAGGGATGGAAAAGTTTCAAGAAAAGATAATAAAAAGCAAACGTCCAAGAGGTGATTAAGCTGTCTAGTGGTATGTCTTTTCTGTTTGTTTATTTGTTTCACATTGTGCTGCAGGTGTGTGTGTGGTTGTTCAGGTGATTGCTCAGGATTCCCTCTGCCAAAAGAAATGTTGCTCTGGAAAATGTTTGCCAGACAAAAGGTGAGAAATTCCAACTTGTTTAGATGATGCTTCAACCACATCAAAGTAATAACCGGCCACTCACTGAGAGCACCAGGACTTATGTCTACTGTACTCCATGAAGAATAAAACACGTGCAGAGCTGAGCAACTGCCATTAGGGAGGCTTTCCCTGCGTCTGTGTCAAGGTGCGCACACTCATAATAATAAAGCCATTATGCAGGAGGATGGTGCAAATGCTGCTCGGTAAGCCCTGATTTTAAAAAATAGAAAGAATGTGCGCTTTAGTGCTAAAGACACAAGGCTCCTCTCTGTATTACAATTTCTGTCAAGGGACAGCACTATTAGAAGGGTCAAGGAGTTAATACAGCTAGGTCATGCACTAAACCTCACATAACACATTAGATCATTCTAGCTGCCCATGCGCGCGCGCACACACACACACACACACACACACACACACACACACACACACACACTCCTCTGCCTTGGCCTCAAAGTGATATACAGACACCTGTACACTATTATACACAGTGGGGCATGCACTTCATGTTGCTACCCCGAACAGAGAAGGGGTACCAGGGTCTCCAGATGCTACAACAAAATCTTTCAAAATCGCTGGTAACAGTGTTCCCTCCTACCCGGCATGTAACTTTGTTCATTATTTCTTCATTACTTTACCTTCAGAGGTACACAGACTCTAAGGGTCAAGTACTACATGAGTATATAAGGACATACAGAGACTATATATGCATTTCACACAGTTCAAAATGCATTAATACATACATGCATACAGTCAGCTGTGTTGTATGCACCGTGAGGGATAGTAAGGGATTATAAACCCTTGTGAGATAAATTCAACAGAAATAAACTCCATAGATAAACACATACAGTACACACACACGTTAACAAGTACTCAGGAGACACAGGAAGTCACTTGCAGGAGCACCAGGCGTGCCCGTGAGGGGATGTGTGTATGTGAGTCACGAGTCCAACAAAAGGAGAAAAAGCTATGACAGCAAAACTAAAAATAACAGACCACACAACATCTTCCTCCTCTTCATCTTGATGGCTGAAAGTTCACAGGTTACAAATTACACAGCACAAAGCATTACTGTTTTTAATCAAGAAATGTTAAAATACCATTAGAATGTGACTTGATGTTACTAAAACGGGAAGCCTCCCTTTCCCCCCCTGAGTGATTCTATATATGCATAACAAGCCCCACAAGCTCATGACAAGAAAACAGCAGAGCTTAACACAGATCCCTGGTATTATTTTTTCTAAGTGTGTGTAATTCATACATGTGTGAGTGCATGTGTGTGCTGTGATTTGGCTGCCAGCATATCCTACTGTTTGTTTCAAGTAATTTGGCAATACACAGAGATAGCTTATTGTTTTACTCGAGAAACAAATGGCTTCTAGAGGAATGAGCCTAAAACCCTGCTCCCCCTGCCCTCTACAGGTCAACCTTGCCATGCTACAAGTGGTTGCAGCTTTGGCCTTCTACAAGTCATGGGTAAAAACAGAGGAAAAAAAAAAAATGAACAAACAAAATGTACGGCTAACTCTCAGGACAGGATTCAACATTGTTTTCTTAGCACCTGTTATGGTGTGGAAATGTTCACAACCCTAGTACACAGGTATTCATTTTGGCTACATCTTATGCTGTGATAAACAACTTCAACAGAACTCACCAGAAGATACGAAATCTAAGAAAAGACAAACAAGATCTACCCTCTTCCTTCTTGAACTTTGTACTACCCTGCACTGCACAAATATCCATAACAGAAAATCTCTTCCTCTAGTCTTATTTCTTTTTCTTTTTTTTTTACAATTAGATATACACAAAAGATAGAACATATTTTGTGTTATTCTAGTAATTGTAATAAAATGCTGCAGTAAATTTAATTGCAAGCAACTTATAAGAACAAAACTGGAAATGCATGGCATTAAATTACGAATTTTTAACTTCTAATAGTTTTGAAGTTTTTGTTAGCTGGGGCAAAGTGTTGGTTTGTCTGTGTGCGTGTTTGCATGTACTGTATGTGCAGCTGCTCAGTGAGTAAGATACTCCATTTCATCTTTTAAGTTTATCGATACAACATTTCTTTTAGTACAGACATTTATGATATGGAAATAACTGTGATAAAAGAAAATGTTTTTGAAATCACTAAGCGACAACAGAGGGATTTTTTTCAACATAACACATCCAGTGGTTTACCGGATCAGATTTACAACACATGATTTTTTTTATTTTTTTTCACTTTACACTTTTGTCTTCTTTTGTCTCCAAGGGGAACAACTCTTATTCAGTATTTGCTTACTATTTAGTCCTTGTATTTCACCTGAAACCCCTTCTGAAAAGCAGTGTCTTTTGATATCTGGTTGTGAAAGGAAAATTGCATAATTTTGTGGTGATTGTTTGACATAGCTTTCTTTGTTTCACAGGAGGCTTTGAGGACTGAAGTGCAGCATTTATAGAGTCTGTTGGATCATTCATGATTCATCAGTTTGGGAGCGAAGGTAAAGCTCTTGAGAGGAAGTATTCTTCTGTAAACACAGGGTTTGTATTTTATGTTGTGCTGATGGCAGGTTTGGCAAAAAGGATGTTGTGTGTCTGATCTTCTCTTGCACTACACAGTTCAGACCTGGAAAGAAAAAAGGACATGACAAGATCATGTCTGAGTAATCAAACATTTGTACTAGTGATGCACTGATCATCTCTGCTGGAGCAATACTAGAGCTGATACTGAGCTTATTACACGGGTTGGGTATTGGCCAAATGTCACCAATCCACAGTAAATACAGCTTTTTATACTGTTTTTGTTTTGATAAAAGCCTTACACAAGTATTACACAAATACTTGGCTGAAGACAATTTCATAATGTTAACAACAGTGATAAATATACAAGCTTAGATACAGCAGAATGTTGGAGTATGAATATTTCCACTTATACTATAGGTCCTAGTCTAATGTACACACTAGACAGAGACCCTTGCAGATTTTACATTTTGCCAAAAACAGTGTGGGGCAAATGTTGGATTGGTGCATCCCTAATTCCTACATCTAAATATGTTCACCTTCACTCATCATGTCCCATGATTTACCCATATAGACACACTGAAACACATACCTGCTCTGCTCCTCCCTGGCCTGACCCTCTCAGCCGGGTACCCAGCTCTGAGAGGTCTGCTTGGTGCTCGTGAAGTTGCCAACTCCATTCATGTTAGCCAGAGAGTCAAAGTTAAAGTCCAGACCATCAGCATCCATCAGCTCATTCCTGATGATGGAGTCCATGTCGCACTCCAGACTGCCATTGAATATGTCCAAGTCCAGATCTGTGGGGAAACGGTCCTGACAGAGCCCCCCGCTGCTGCTCACTGGTCCGTTCAGGAAGATCGAGGTGTCAATCTGCATGGAGGAAGACCCATTTCCTCCCAAGGGTGAGATCAGGAGCTGCTGCTTGGCACTAGCCAGAGTGTTAGCATCATTAGCTAAGTTCATGCTTCCATTTAAAGACCTCAGGGAGCTCTGGTTGTGGTTGTTGCTTTGCAGCATTTCTCCTTGGTTGCCTTGAAGTCCTCTAGTGGTCCCAAAGGTCATTATGGGATCACTGCGGAGCATGAGACCACGGCGGGAGTTCTGGGAAATGACAGCGGCAGCGCTGGCCTGTGACATCAGTGGGTCAGACTGGGTCATCATGACATCGCTGTGGCTATGGTTGTCAGAATTGAGTAGGTCTTGTAGTGTCTGGCTGCCAAAATGAGACATGCTGATGCTGGAGAAGGAGGTCTGCTTGTTCTCCTGGATGGTCTGCATGGGGGACGGACGAAGAGAGGAGCCTGTGGTGTTGGGGCCAAAGATGGAGTTATTGTAGCCATTACCCCCACCATTAGAGGAAGAGTTGGAGGAGGGAGAGGAGGTGGAAGAAGGTGTGCCTAGCCCATTGGGGTTGGACCCAAAGTTAAACCCTGAGGAACCATTTGGAGTGGTCTGAGTGGAAGAGCTTTGCTCCAGGTCGATGTTATCCAGCACCTCCATCAGTTCAACTGCGAGTCCATCATTCAGATTCATTGTCCCTGCCAAGTCTGCCAGTCGGGGTAGCTCGGTCGGCATGGCCTTCCCATTGGTCGCGGTGTTGCCAGGAGACAGTGCTCTGGCAGGACTGGAGTAGAACATAGGTGAGAGAGGGGGCTTGTCATCGGGCACTTCATCTAGCTCGGGGTTGGCCAAAATGGGTGAGAGGCGACCGCTCACAGTGCTGGCATTGGAGTTAGTACGGGAGCGGAAGTCTGTCCAGGTGTCCAGCTCCTCGCTGCTGTGTGACATTGGGCTTCCAGGCCACTTGGAGAGTCCTGATGGACTGTCTCTGCCACCTTCACCAGCTGCAGCGGCTACAGCCTGCAGAGCGGCCTTCTTCTTTGCAGCACGGCCACGGGCAGACTTGGTGTACTTGTTGCTGTTGTCCATGGAGACTGCACGGCGCCGAGGGGCCTTGCCACCCTTCCCTCCCTCGGGGTTGATCATCCACCAGGAACTCTTCCCTGTTCCCTCATTCTGGACACGGATGAAACGGCTGTGCAGGGAAAGGTTGTGCCGAATGGAGTTCTGTAACACAAGACAAAGGGAAGAGAATGCACTGAGCGACATGTGCAAAATTCTTTTGAAACATTTACTCAAACAATAACTGTCATCAGTATTGATCTGTTGTATTCTATCTTTCTTTTCACCAATACAACATTCAATGAATACCTCTCATTAAGTCCTACAGCACTGATCAATAAATCACCAACTATTGATTCTGCAGCAATGTAAACAGTTGCTCTCGGTAACAAGAGCCACAAACAAAGCAAAAAAGCCTATTCTTTCAATTGTTCAACCACTAAATATAGACAGGAACCTGTTACCATTCAGCAGCACTTAGCGCTCACATCTGCACTGTGTTCCCTGTAGGTTTTGTCTTGTAAGTATAAAAGAGAAAAGACAGACAGTGGTCTATAATGGAGCGTCTACTAGATTATGAATGACACACAAAGAGACTCTGTGTTGTGTAAAGAACACATTCTCTGTCAGATCATGTGTTTTTGCATGCCTGTGTGTGAGTCTTGGCTAGTGTGTATTGATCAGCTCTCTTTGCTAGCCCAGGAGGCTTGTTGTGTGTGAACTGGTGCATGTGACAGCCCCTTGTTGTTGTATTCACAACACAGAGATGTATATAGACATTAAAGGCCAAAACCACCAATGGCTTAGCTATTGTTGCTACACTACCAGCTTTCTCGTCAGGCAGACAGTCTTTCATATTGCAACTCATACTGTAGCAGTTCTAAACATATTTGAGCCACACTAGCTGTCTGGGCAAAGGGAGTGCCAAGGAGCCAGCTTTCCATAAACAGGTCAAACATTTGAGTGTGACTTCAAAGATTTACACAGCTACATGTGTGATTTCTGGTTCATGTAGCTTTTACAACCTCACATTTCAGTCCAACTAATCAAAAAAGTGCTAATCCTTTGTAAAACAGCTACAGTAGAGCAAGTGTGCACTGAGTCGTCTTTATAACATTTATCACACTCTCTTTTTCCTCTTCTTGTGCCCCACAACCCACTGAGGAACTTGTTGAATTCATTATTTTTACCTCAATCTCCTTCTCTTTCCGTACCCCCTCCCTCTTCCACAGTTTCTGTTGTTTCACAAACACATAGCTCTTACAGACCCAGAGGGACTCTGGGGGCTATGCTACATCCTCCCATATAAACAATCCAACCGCTCTCCATAACATGCACACATTTTTCCTCTCTGTTATCCTCCTATGTATATTATTACTCCTGAAAACAGAGAAGATTTCTGGGTTCCAACCAAAACCAAGTCAAAATGTTCTCGTTTTTGTGGGAATCACAATATTGTTTTTAATGAAGTGGTCCTGTCTTTCCTGGGCAACGGTTTACAGACAATTTGATCTGGATTGTTATTCTGGTCAAAAGCAGTTCAGTCAGAGATAATAGAAAGTAGGCTAAAGTTACATTTCTAAAATGCTAAATTGGCAAAGAAAGTTTGATCTCTGGGGTCAAACTGAACCTATGACCTTATGCGGGTGTGTATTTGAACATTTATGTGTTTGTGATCACCCGGTTTTGCATCTATAGCCTCTTGAGTGTTCAACAAAAGTTGTTTCTGCAGAACTGTGTGCTTTTTGTAACCACTAGTGTGCATTAGCAATCCATAAAAAGTTGCATGTAATCATGAATGGTGTGTGTATATGAATGCACATTTCCCAAGTGAGTGTGTGTTTATGTGCGAGTGTGTATTCCGTGCAATGAGGTAAGATGAGAAAAGATACCAGGGAGACCAGTGTTTATCCTCTGCCAGGATCTCTCGAGGCATCACGTAAGGCTGCTTTAGTACAGAACATTTTACAAACACAGACACACACACAAATCCACACACTAGCTAAATGTTTCCAGCTGCCAAGTAGATGTAAACAGTGGCAGAAGATACTTTTTAATGAAATAAAAGAGAGAACTTTTGGTGGGATGAATGAGAGCAGAATGAATGGAATGTGAACCTCCTTCTCCAGCTACTGTACACATTTACCTGCCAACACCTGACACATCATTGATCCTTCCTTGTTTCATCCTGCACCCTTTTTATCCCTGCAGTACCCACCACCGCCTCAGCTCACTACTCCAGCAAAGCCAATTGTTTAATATTTCTCTTTTCCATGCCACTGCTCATACTCTTCAAATGTCAGGTAAGATATTTCTGACTTGATGGTGCAGCAGTAAAGGGAAATGAAACATCTGCAACTGAAGCATGGACAGTGATTTTTAAAAAATCAAGTGGCATACTAGAGTGTGAATGAGTGATGGTGAGAAAGATACTCCATAAGGAGTTCACTAAACTACTGCTAAATACAAAAATATCTATCTATCTAACTAAGTGACATAGCTAAGTCCACTAGCTAGATCAGGTCACGCTGAGAGCAAAGGATTTAGTAGAACAGGTAAGTGCACTAAATCAAACAACATGTTGGAAGTTGTGGTGATGACACTGAAGTCATGGGACCCTGGTGTTGTTTGTTTATAGACTAACGATAGTGTTTTACTTTTTAGCGATTGTATTTGGGCTTCAAAAATCATAAAAGTTGTGTTAATTTGTGAAGATTATCTTACTGAACAAAACATTTTTGTTTGTCACGAAGCTTATTTTCTGCAATAATCCAAAACCCCACTGGCTTTTTGTCAAGAGAACTAGGGTGATGCCAACTTCCAAGGTTGGCCTACAGAAATACCTACAGCTCTCTATCGCTGTGTGAGTGGGATACTGTATGCTTACTACTGTACAGTGGCTCCTCTGGGGTATTCCCAAAGCCCATTAATAAAAACTGCTTACTGAGCTCTGATTCATAACTCCTACTATGCCCCCATCAGAGCTAAATACCATACTGTACTAGTGCACTACTACTTCATCTTGCAGCAACAACCTTCTAAGGGATAATGATGCTGTCGACACTGCCTGGCTAATTTGAGTTTTTTTGTTTTGTTTTTGGAATTCTCTTTCTCTCTTGACCTTAATTTCTCCTTTTTCTCTTTTGTACCCTCCTCATTCAGAATGAACACATCTGTGCTCACAATATAGACAGGTGAGTTAATGAGCTAAATTTGGGTTCATCCCTGTTTTTTTGTTTCTGTATCAAAACAGTGTGCTCCTCATGATAGAAGAATACAATAAGTAGTCACCAGTTTTGCTTTTAGAGCAGACTACTAGGCTAGCAGTAGCCTTTTGAATAATTTCTCTGATATCATAAACTTGGTCTATTCATGAGACTGATTATCCAGGTTCCCCAGCGCTGCATTATTGAAGCCAACCATCTCAAAGTAGCCTGACATAGCTGAGCTTGCTTCGTGAGACAGGTCCCAATTGTATGTGCGTGTGTGTGTTGTAGTGTGCGCACCAGCTGCAGCCAGAGCTCGGGAGCACAGAGGCCTTTTTGTCCATCAGCAACATGTGGGAACAATTAATCACTGTCAGCAACCATGTTAGGAATCTCTTTCTCTCCTTTCCCTCATAATTCTGATTTTTGAAAGGTGCATAGGTGGGAACTCATATGTTTGCTTTTATGTAAGTCCGAATGTGGAAGGTGTGTACATTGAATTTTTTAAGGAGGCACTTTAATGAGATTTACAGTGTACTGTGATGAAATTAAGTCAGATTATTACAACAGATGTATGGTGTAAATGTAAAGAAATCAGCACTGCTTGAGGTCATTTAGAAGCAGATTCCTCTGATTGGTCCAGAGTAGCCTGTTCCAAAGATTGCTTTCTAATTGGTTGTAGCTGTGAGTTCCAGCAGTGGTGATTGGTGGAGTTAAACTGGTTTGCGTAGCCAGGCAGTGCAGAGAAAGGATAGTCTGCCCAGTGTTGCAAGTGTATTTCATCACCCAGCTACAGCACATATCTGAACTCAAATATATGAACTGGGTCGGTTTCTCTCCACCAGGTTCCTGTACTTTGCGTGAACCTGAAAGAAACATTTCATTAGCCAGCCCAATCCCATCTCAACCTTCCTTGCCTTTAGGAGTAAGGAAATACAGAGCAGAAACATGCTCTCAACACACACACACACACACACACACACATACAGTTCTTCAAATGTAGTGCTACAGGAAAGCATTGGTTCAGATGATTATATGGTAAATCCAAATTATCTTATTTGACCATTCCTCATTATTTGCTTCTCGAGCCTTGCTCAATCCGGAAGATGTTCTAGTCTGCCATCTTGAAGGGTGTCCCACAGCTCTTAGTTTTGCTTTGAGGAGCGAGGCTCGAGGAATGTGGAGGCTGCCTGGAGGAGCCATACATGAGGATACATGAGACCATCCTTTGCAGAAGTCTTATGGGCCAACATACTTCTTTATCAGTTGGTGATTGAACACTTCAGATGAAAGATTGAAGGAAAAGACATCTCATGTCTGTAAAAAGATTTCCTCAATCCCTCTCTCCTATTTTCTCTTTGCATCTTTTCCTCACATCTTATGTCAGAGGGACTAAGCCAAAAGAAAAAGGCACAAATGAGGGAAACACAGGTGCAATTAAGGGAAATGGGATTAACCCATAGTGTCATGGGACCAGAACACAGCACTGAGTCAAAGTGCTTTGAGGTTGCAGCTCTTGCATCACACTCCTTAGCCTCTCCCCTCCAGTGGTGTGATTGGACAGACTGTGAGCGTCACACCTCTGGTGTACCTAACCATCCACTGACAGCGTCTGTGTGCATTAGAGTCCTGGCCAACCATATCCACCATTATGTAAACCAGCAATAATCTGAGTCTTATGTCAACAGCTGGGTCAAGCGAAAAGTATCTTTGTGTAAGCAAAAGATAGGTAGCACCCTAGCAAATGAACAATAAATGAAAATAAATATTACAGCCAGACAGATATAATGGTGCACCTTATAATTTTTTAAATATGAAAAATGGCTAAGAGGTAAGAACAAATTGTGGGACTTATACGTTATACGTTATACGTTAATTTGCAAGGTCCCTCAAATAAACTAAACAAAGCTGCAAATGCAAATTGAAAATTGTTTAGAGAAATTTAACTTTTGTTGTAGT